GATAATTGTTTGTAATATTTGTGATAATTGTTTGTAATATTTGTGATAATTGTTTGTAATATTTGTGATAATTGTTTGTAATATTTGTGATAATTAATAATTATGTTAATGTTGTATAAATAAGTTGATTATAATTTGCCTAATATTGTATTTTCATTCAAATATATGCCAACTATTTATGTATTTTTATAAAAAATTTTAATAATCTGTTTGATGTTTAATTCATTAAAATACTAATCATGCTTATTTAATTTGTTTAATTTAATTTTAATACATTCAAGCAGTTATTCAAAAATATGAAATGATCAGCCAGGTGGAATAATATACCGTATTAAAAATTTTAAGTATTTTTGTTGCTATATTAATTAATATACAATTTTTAACTAATTACTAAAGCAGGTATAACTGGTATTTAGATAACTGTTATTAACAATTAAATAAACAAGGGCAATATTAGGGCAATATTGTTATAAATGAATTTGAAGCATATTTTGATTTGCAAATAACTTGCATTATTAACACTACAATCGACGTAAACAAGATCATTATTAGTACATGTTTTCAATTAACTTAATTGCATTACACATTTAATTGAATGTTATTTAATGATTATATTATCAATTAAGCGGTTCTATTACCTGCTTTATTAGCATATATCGGTATCAGATGTGTCACCCATTCACGTAATTATGTTGCATAATATACCTAGTAAAGAGGTAGCATCTACATTTATATAAATAGTCATTCATTTCATAGGCAACAGTAGTTTAGATATTTTTAAATATTTAATTCAATATATATCGTAAAATTAATCTTATTATTCAAATTAATATACTATATAAAAATGCAACAAAATATCAAGCTCATTGTTTTGTTGGTGGTTGTTATGGCCGTTATTACAGGTATTCAAATGATTACTTATAAAATATTATGTATAAGTTAGTAAATTGTTTTGATATGGTAAATTAAAATTATTTTTAATTAAAATACAATAGTTGAATGCCGTGGCGGCGGTGGCGGTCATGGAGGTAGTGGCGGCCATGGAGGTAGTGGTGGCCATGGAGGTGGAGGTGGCCATGGAGGTGGTGGTGGCCATGCGAATGGTCATGCGGGTGGCAATGGAAAGGGTGGACATGGCAGGGGGCAGGGAGGTGGCCGTAGTGGTGGTGGTAGTGGCGGAACACGTGCTGGTCATGCGGGTGGTGGCGCACGAGCCGGAGTTAAATCTGGCGGATCAGGTAGTGGTGGTAGCGGTGGTGCTTCTGGTAGTGGAGACGTTAAAATGGATATGAATGCCGGCGCTGGTAAAGTTGGGGGCAGTGTAGGAGGCAGTGTTGGTGGTAGTGCTGGTTCTGGTTAAATGGGCTATAATGTGTATAATGTCAAATAAAATTATTAACTTTACCAATTTTTGTGCAATTAAATGGCGATTATTAACAAATTTAGTTTAAGAAAATTAAAATTATTAAAATGATTAATGTGAGTCACCAGAAATCTGTAAAGTATTAATATAATGCTTTGAATAAAACAAGATATCAGAAATTAATTTAATTTGGTTTTTTCAACAATTTAGAATTGTGCTTGAGTGTTTGATTATTGACCAAACATTATTAAATATCAATGACTACATATAGTCCAACTTCATACCTCCCCAATTATGTTATATTTGCAATTATATATTTTATATTTAATTACAGTTTTTATTTCAATTCAAAGTCAATAACATTTAACTTTATATTCAATACTAACGTTATATTAGTTAAAATTATTGTATAAATTGTTTTTATTGTATTGTTATTTTCAGAGCAGGTGTTAATACATTTAAATAATAATTGAGTCATTAGTATAGCGACAAACCGAAAACAAATAACAAAATAATTACATTTAAAATATAGATATTTTATTTGCCATTTAAATGATTACAATAATTGCAATAATTATAAAAACTAAAATTTAAAAAATATAAACAAAATTACTTTCGAAATTCATATGACTTTTGATTAGAAATACAAATATAATATACAAAAAATTAAGAATAATTAAAATTAAAAATGTATTTTTGGTTAAATTATCTCTTGGTTTGTGATCAGTCTATTCAGCTTATGGTAAAAAGTGATTCACTAATTAGCATAATAACTAGTATTTATAGCTCTTTCCGCCGCCATAACCGCCGCCAATACCGCCATAACCGCCGCTAATACCGCCGAAACCACCGTAGCCTCCCTTTCCACCTCCAAAACCGCCGCCAAACCCGCTGCCAATACTACCACCAAAACCGCCGCCAACACCGGCGCCGCCAAAGCCACCAAAACCACCGACACGTCCCTCACCTCTGGCCACCAGTGTCTGGACATTCTCGATGACGGGTCGGATCTCTTGGATAATTTGACGCTGAGGTACGACCACTTCGCGCACGATCTGGTGTACGGGACGGATGACCTGATGGGTGAGTTGATGCGGTTGATCGACACTATTGGTACTCTGGTGTGAGCCCTGTTGGCCGATGTGGTGCTGTGTGGCCAACAGTGGCGACGATCGGGACAAGAAGTTGAGTTGCACGGGCTGTACGCCACTGTCCACGTCCACAATGGTGGGCGCCGAGTCAGATATCTGTGAGCCCACGGGCACCACCTGTACGCTACGGGTGCTGAATATAGCGGCGTTCACTCGACCGCCGGCCAGACCGCTGCTAACTCCCCCACCTCCGAGTCCGATCAGACCGCCGCCTAAACCGCCGCCATAACCTCCGCCAAGACCTCCGTAACCGCCGCTAAGACCTCCGTAACCCCCGCCAAGACCTCCATAGCCGCCGCCGAGGCTCATACCGCCCCCATATCCACCACCGTATCCGCTGGCATAGCACTGGACCGCCAACAGTCCAACAAACAATAGCTACAAGTTTTAAAGGAATTAGATATCATGTTTTTAATTATACTTATTTAACACTCACTCTGAACATGATTTACAAAGTTTAATATAAAGTTTATAATTAAAGTTAAACTTAAAAGTTTTAAATATTTGAATTAAATTAAAACGATTATAAGACTATTGAATGAATGAATAGCTTATGAATGATTGTCTGATCTGTCTGTGAGCCGAGTGTCCCCTTATATACCAATGAGATTATGTGTGCCATATGTGGTGTCTTAAGAAATTAAAAAATTAAAATGTGGTAAAATAAAAGATTATTATTTAACATTCACTCTCATTTTAAATTTATTTTTATAATTTATAAAATAAAACATAAAGATAAGTTTTGTTCTTGTTTGAAAAATAGTAAAAATCATCATATTTTATGTCTTTCTCAATTATAATGAATTTTTTGGCATTTAAAATAGCGAGGATTCTTTGTTTTTATTGTTTCCTACATTTCTATATTGGTTAATTTGTTAAATAAAAATAGTAATGTTTAGATGATGTGTTATTATTAAGTTATTTACGTATGTTATACCCAATTATTTAATTAAATGTTTGTCTTGTTTATTAGCTTCAAAATAACAATCAAAACACTAATTAATCATGTGTTATGCAATTTGTATACATTCATAATGTATTATGTATGTAATATTATTTGCAAATATTTTACCATCATTTAATCCCATTATCCAAATGTCTCATTAATTATGCTCTCATTGTATTGTGAAATATCTGTCGTTAAATACAAAATAAAATAAGATTATTATTTCTTTTAATCCAAACGTGATTAAAATATATAAATAAAATATATACAGTATAACGTAAATTAAATTTCTATTAACTCGTTGTATGTATGCAAAGTATTTTAAATGTCACTGTTTAATTTATTTGTTTAAATTAATATTGTTATACATATATTATAATGTATTTAAATAGGGAGGAAAATTATTCAACATGTTCACTACATAATCTTACTAGATTATAACACTTTTATTTTATAGTATGTTGTTTGTTTGATATGATAATTTTAATCTACCTTTTTAAAATAATATTATTGTTGTTGAAAATTTAAAAAAAAGTTAGTTTAATTTATCCATTTTTAACATTAATATATCAATAGTAGTAATAGATTATAAAAATTTATATAAAATACAATTGACGTATTTTTATAAATATTATTTTGATACAATATTTCAGTAATTAATAACTAGAGCTAGGACTTTAGCACAATCAAAGCTATAAATATTTTCTCCAAATACCGGTACAATATTGACTTTTGCAACTATTTTATAAGTGTTTAGCATTAACTGAATAGAGAATTTGTTATCACTCTTTGACTAAAACACAACTTTACGAGTTTGTATTACGAGTCTAATTAAACGACTCATTGAATCAATTATTAAATGTTTTTAATTTTAATTCACTTTTTATTTATTTTTTCATTTTATCATTCGCATATATATAAAAATACATTTTATAATTAATTATCAATAATAAAAATATATTTTGTATGTCATTTTTTATATATCAATACATTAAAATTATAATCAATTTGTGACTAAAATATAAAAATGTAAAATTGAGATTAAAATATAGTGTAAATTAAATAAACAAATTAAACAATTAATGAATTGTCTAATTTATCAATAAATTCTTGGATTTGTTTTACTATCAAATAATATCTCGTTTTGTAATATATTTGTCTATAATTTACAAAACTATAGTAAAATACATTTCACTAGTATTTGGATCCGCCGTAACCGCCGGACAGTCTAAGACCACTGCCGTGTCCGCCATAACCACCGTTTCCGTGGCCACCATAACCACCGTTGCCGCTCAGGACAAGACCGCCGTGACCTCCGAGACCTCCGTGTCCGCCGAGACCCCCGTG